AATGGCCATTAAATTATATAAACTTCCACCGTTTCGATATTAATTTGCTATTTCGTACGAAGCACTCTATTAATCTACTGTATATATTTTTAATCGAATTTGAAAAATTTTGAATTGTAGTCATGAAAATTATCAAACCCAATTATGAACTGATACTGAATTTGTAATTTTAACTGAACAATTATTATTAAATTATTAGTTAATGCGCTGCATGCTAAAAGGTATCGTATCGGGAAATGTCTTGAGATATGTCCCAGAAAAGTCCTTTTCATAAGTTTCTCTGTGATATGTTGAGAATCACAAGGTAATATACATTAGGTAACACTCGAAACACTAGCCATTGATATTAGACGCAACATTTTTTGTTTTTCCTATTCATTTTGTTGTCAGGAAGGACATTCCTTGCTAAATAAGAATGGAAGAACATTGCAACTGAAGTCAGACTTTTCCTACCAAATAAGGTCGGGTGACAACGCTAATTATGAGCCAGATCATTCATTTATTTATTCTTATAAACTGAAATGCCAAGATATTCAGAGGGCCACTGTCTGACTGTTGGCGTGAATGTTTTTGCTCTTTGGTTTGATTCACTTTTGCTTTCTTCTGGAAAAATGTCAGAGTTTCCGTCTCAGAAAAGGAAAGGTTTTCGCCACCATCTCAAGACGGATCACCACGAAATGTAAGAGAACGATTCGGAAACGAAGAAAATGTCTCAGATGAGACAACAGAACAGTTGATCTTGTCTTATATAAGTGCCGAAAAGGAGATTAACGTTCAAAAAGGAAAAGTCTAAAAGGAAGGTTGTAGATCTACAACTGAAATTAAAAAGAAACTCATCGCGAAACAGGAAAGTTGTACACGTGTGACGGATCTGGCGGCCATGTTTAAGATGTCGAAGTCGACGGTGTGCGACCGGTAAATGCAATTCTCATTTTATTATACATTATTTATAAATTTTATTTATCATTTTCGAGTTTTAATTTATTATTAGATCTCGTACTTGTCTTATTTTAACATTAATGTGTTTATGCAGAATTAAGTTTATCGAAATGGGTATTGTATAATGATGGGGAATGAATTAATTCACTTTCCATTACTTCTTATGGAAAACATTGCTTCGGACTTCGAACGACCTTCTGGAATGAATTAAGTTGTACAGTACTATATTCCCTTTTGATTTAAGGATTATATTTTCACTTAGAATAAGTATTCACAGATCATTTCGGATTATCGATTTGTTATATTGGATTTTCTTTTTCCATTTAACCACATTGAAACTATTTCAAAAATCCAAGAAATTCGATTTAAATTTACAACAAATATAATTTGTACAGATGAACATAGCTTAAGTAGATACTTTCACAATAATAAAAATAAGATTTTCATTTTGTCATTTTAAAAATAACAGAATGAGACACTTAAGAAGCTACTACTTTCAAAATATGGTCTGAAGACAATTTTTTTAGAGTAATATTTTTATTCTCTCGTGGGTTAGCAGCGATAAGGAAAAAATTTCCGCCGTGAATATTAAAGTGATGTACTGTATATACTTAGCTGAACGTATATGTAGTGATGCTAGAGAATGTTTCGAAGATTCGTTATACAAATGCTTGAAAACTTCTATTTTAAAGTATTTCTTTTATTATAAAACCTACATCAAAAATGTTTTTGTTTTCTTATAAAAAGATACTGTTCTCAAATAAAAAGTATATTAAATGTGTTTTAATATATAAATATATTAAATTCAGAAGAAATAATTATATTAATTAGGAAGAAAAATGATTTTATATCTCACTGGAATGAAAATATTAAATGGACAAAGTTTAAATAAACAAGATTAAAGAATAGACAAATAAAAATTTAGCTGAAATGTTTGAATGTTTTCCAATTTTTACTTCAACATATAAAATTGAAAATATATTCACTTTCAATCTAATAAAACGCATTCGTTTTATATAAATAAAAGATAATGCAAATCTACATTGTATAAATCCTTTGAATTAATTCAGTTTTCTTTCTTTAAAAAACGTTTAAATAAATATATATGTATTTTATAGCTATGAAAATGTTTTTTAATTTTGGCATGTGCAAAATGTAAACTGCATGTTTTCGTCAGAGACAGATTTATTCATGGAAGTGAGTGAATGAACTAAATAAACAAATCGACCATTAATTTATATAAATTGTTTTCGTAGTGAAGAATTTCATTTCAAGACTGGATAATCGAGTCTTGATTGTTACTGCACGTAACTTGTCTCTGAAGAATGTAACTTTGGTTTCAGCTATCGAAGTACAAGTTTACTAATTGATTTACGAATCTTAATATATTTTACACGTATTTATTCGTTAAGTTTAACGTTTTTAATATTCATTTATTAATTGACTATTCAATTACTTCAATGGCCATTAAATTATATAAACTTCCACCGTTTCGATATTAATTTGCTATTTCGTACGAAGCACTCTATTAATCTACTGTATATATTTTTAATCGAATTTGAAAAATTTTGAATTGTAGTCATGAAAATTATCAAACCCAATTATGAACTGATACTGAATTTGTAATTTTAACTGAACAATTATTATTAAATTATTAGTTAATGCGCTGCATGCTAAAAGGTATCGTATCGGGAAATGTCTTGAGATATGTCCCAGAAAAGTCCTTTTCATAAGTTTCTCTGTGATATGTTGAGAATCACAAGGTAATATACATTAGGTAACACTCGAAACACTAGCCATTGATATTAGACGCAACATTTTTTGTTTTTCCTATTCATTTTGTTGTCAGGAAGGACATTCCTTGCTAAATAAGAATGGAAGAACATTGCAACTGAAGTCAGACTTTTCCTACCAAATAAGGTCGGGTGACAACGCTAATTATGAGCCAGATCATTCATTTATTTATTCTTATAAACTGAAATGCCAAGATATTAGAGACTCCTACCTAATAACGTGTAGTTCCTCGCTGAATCCGAATAACAGTGGCTACACGATGTTGGTAGACTCTACCAACGTCGTGTAGCCGCTAACAGGAGTCGTCTGATACGAGGTGTCTGAATTGTTGAACAACTATTTTAATCCAGACACATTCAATGGCTCTCCATAATTTGTTTGATAGTTCTGCAAGGCATTGAATAACGTTTCCACAGTGTCCCATAAATGCTCTATGGGGTTCAAGTCTGGCAAACGAGGCGGCCGAAAGAGTAATTGAAAATCTGTCGAGTGTTCTCCAATCATTATTGTATCACCCGTGCCCTGTGGGGAGTAGCATTATCCTGCTAGTACAAACCATTACCGTCGGGGAACATAGCAAGCGTAAGGGGGTGCAAAGCGTCTAGCACAAGATTAGTATACGTCGCACTTGTCAAAGTCGACTGCAGTCTCACCATTAGTCCCTGTTTACGCCAATAGAACACACTCCAAACCAGGACAGAGTCATCGCCAGCTTGCACAACATTTTGCTGACTCGATGGATTCACGGTTTCATGTGTTTGTCGCTACACACGAACACGACTATGCACGAAATAGCTGAATACGAGATTCATTTGACCACATAACACTACGCCAGCCATCTACTGTCCAATTTCGATGTTCTTTGGCCCAGGTGCATTGACTGACGTTTGGTGTTAGTAGTGATACCAAAGTGGGTCGGCGACTACCAAACCCCAAGGAATGCAGTATATGTTGCACAAAAGCGTTGACTGATGGGTTTAGCAGCGCCCCTGTTGAAGTTTTCATGTGATGTGATTTGGTGCCGAGTTTCCCTTCCTTGCGTCGTTAGTAACCTAGTTAGCCACCGGCAATCACGTTTTTGCATCAGCCTTGAGCGCCCACACTATGCACATATTGCTGATGTCTGTCAGGAATTTAAGTATTCCTGGTAAACATTTGAAACTGTTGTACGAGAAAATCTAAGAATGGGCCACCTCTCTGATAGAGTGACCCATTTATTTTGCTCCAACAATCTATCCACGACCAAACGGCAATAAATCCTTTACACGGCCCATTGCTACTCTAACCAAGCTCACACATAACCGATAAGTATGGTGTCAAATGCAAATGTTCCTACTCAAAGCATTTCCCTTATGGGTAGAAGGTAATAACGTTTCATGTGCTGCTATCTCTAATTTTTTGGCACTTCAGTTTATTTCGTAACATTTCATTACAAAAATGACTTGAAAGCACTCCAAATCTTAAAGTTAATGTCTTTTATATTTTATCATTATTAGTATTTTCGTATAAAATAAAATACAATTTAAATTGAAATGAAAACATTTCAATTTAAATCACTTTCAATTCTATTCCTATCATATTAAATCAATTCAAATCATATTTTCAGCTTCAGGAAAAATAATCTTTTTGTTTTATAAAAACTATCATTGTTATGGAGTCAGAGGGCTCATAATTCTCCTTAATGCAGAAAATTGACATCAAATCAAATGAAAGCTTATGACTCCACATCATCAGACATGATGTCACATATTTGATATGAGTGGAAAGAAAGCTTGACATATGTAAAGCATGTAACGATGGATATATCAAAAATACTTAGAGTGACCATATTGTTTATCGCCTATACCAGCGTAGAAACCAGGAAACACTTAACCAGTAGCACACGGGTCGGCGCGATGAGAGTTTGGTTTGGTCAATAGTAACTGTACCTACTTTAAAAGAGGTTACAGGATGGGATATTTTTATGGTAATTTTGCTACATGTGTGAGTACTTATGCTGTACAAGTTTTATCAGTTGTAATACAGTACTTCATTTTACGTGGAAAAGAGCATTTGTGTAAACAAAGGTGAATCCTCTAACATGGGTGATAATTGGGAAAGTAGGGAAGGACCGGAGAGGTGATCCATGAATTTAATAATCAGTCAAACACATTTTTACTTCGACGGAGATTTTCTGGAGAGTCTTGAGATTCGAGTTTCAAGCAACTTTAATGTAACCCTGAAAACAAGTTTAAAAAACTAGTAGAGAAAGTTTTGTCGGGAGAGTACTATTCATCCTGCCATCTTATTTCTCCTAAAGTAAGTATAGTTAGTATTACCAAGCGCAATCTCTCCTCCCGCTGACTATATTTGACAAATTTTTCTTGACTAGGTAATATGCACTTAGATATAAAGCACCTCCTTACCTGAAAAATAAACACATACATTATATTATATTGTATTATAGTAACCAGATCCGTAAAGGGAAATTCAATTTAAAATTTAATATGAATCTCCTGAAATATCCTTCTTTACAGTATATTGAATTTGTGATTGTTACTCGGTGTTTAGCATATTGATATCGTCAAGGTATGAGGAATTATTTTTAAAGAATGGTAACCAAAAGTTATTTTTAAATGCAATGCTCAGGAAACTTGTTACAAATGATGGTGTGTGTGTGTGTGGTGTAAGGGATGATATTGATATATTTTGTAAAGCTATTCCAATTATATCCAATATTTCATTAATAACTACTCGTGCATGAAAATTTGAAATGAAACCCTGAAAACCGTGAGTTTTAATAAGCATAAATTAGATGCTCCGTATTGAGGCAAGTCATTTCGATTTTATAAGTTATTGATAACTTATGATGAGATTTTGTTTTTCATTATTTTATTTAAGCATTGAAAATGCGAAGGGGATCGAGATTTTTAACGTCAACTTATAACACACTACTTTAAAGATGTGGCGTGTAGCTGAATTAACGTTACGTATACTTAGAATTTTTTTTTATTTAAAATTTGAAAAACTTACGTTTATTTAAAGTTTTTAAGTAAAAAATATAAATCTGAATCGTCGTTTATAAATTATTGCATTNCTGACTGTATGAATTCTAATTATTATTTATATTATAATAGTTTAAGATTGTTTTTAAGTTATTTATGGCTGATCAACGATGATAGGAATAATTAATGTTTAATGATTAAGAATCACTTCATTTTAATTATATTTTTATTAAAAACTAAATGAAATAAACTAAATTATGTGTAAAAAATAGCTGGAAAGTGAAATATTTGTAAATATTGTTTATTGTAATCATAGCCACCAATGTAGACTATCTTACATTATGGCGGCGTTCGTGGTTGGGCCTATTGTTATAGTTGGCTGTGAAAGTGCCCACGGAAACGATAAAAAAATTCCGATTATTCCAAAGCATTCAAAAATTATTTACCATAGAAGCCTGTTTGAGTATCTCAGCGAAAGTGGCATAAAAGACAAAGTCTGAGGTACGGATGTCGAAATATAACCGCTTGCCACTGCGCTATAAACCCCAATTGCAGTGTTTTATGAGTCCAGGTATACGTAATTTTATTTGGATTGTTTTTATTATCCTCTTAAGAAAAAGTATAACCTCTCAAACGAATAACTTTGCAATTCCAATCAGATTTGCATATAACTATTAAATAATGGATGTCATTATGACAGAGTGCAAGCGTGGAACGAATAATGAATGTATCAATATTGATTTACCAAATAAAAACAATGTATTTTTCATATATTATTGTTTTGGTTTTCCATGTCTCAAGACATTGGTCAAGCAATTACAATATGTTGTCTCTTATGTTCGACCTCTTATATTTTCTTTCTATTTTGAGTCGTTTTTAATAACAAAAAATGTGTATAGAAAATAAATAATTTAGTTGTTAATGTAAGATGTAAGTTTATTGCGGTAATAAATTTCTCCTTAACTTTATATAAAACTGTTCTTCCTAATAATGTATTATTTTCCTAAACTGCGAATGTTTTATCCTAATGATATATTATTTTTTAATTTTCTACATAAGTTCTTATCAAAATACACTGATAAAAACAATTACAATATTCATTTTTACTCAAATGTATTAAATTACCTAAGTTTTCTGTACCTGGCAGGTAAGGTTCGTTATACAATGAACTGTACAGTACCTAGACACGCATCAATGTACAGTACAGTACAGTGTCAAGTACAGTACCATCAGACATGTACGGTGCTTCATGCCGTTAAGTCTGCCTTGCCTCCAACACCGGGACAGATTCTAACAGTGAGTGAAAAATGGATTTAAAAATTGTTAAACTTTTATTTTTAAAAAAAAATTATATATTGACTTATAAATTTGTTACATTACAAGACCTATAAAATGGTTCTATTTAAAATTTAATTCGGTTTTTGAGGATTTAAAAACAAGAAATCCAGGTCTGCCTTGACAAACTGGGACATATGGTCATCCTAAACATGGTATATGAGCTTTAATTATGTACGGAGAGATTTATCACACACTGTGTTATTGTAACAATGAAACGTTCTATTGATTAGCTTGAGAAATGTAGGTTCTTTGATTTTGTTAAATCTATGTTAATCCCATTTATTTGTTCTTTTTGTTTTTTTGGTAAGTCAACTCATGGTTCATTAATTTTAAATAATTCATAGATTATATAGGCTATATAATCTGACTTCTTTAATCAAGTAAGCTTATCATTTATCATCATAAAAACAGATCTATAGTAATTATGTTGAAACCTAAAACATTCTACTTGTTAAAAGCTTTCATCAAGTAAGAGTTTTTAATAAAAACTTTTTATACTGTACATTGCTAAGTCTTTACATATTTGAAGCATTTTAGCTATATTCATCTGGAGGAGAGAATTTTTTTAATGATATGCACTGATTGCAATTATTTTAATAGAGAGTTTATTAATAAATTGCATAACAGCATGGGTTATTTTTAATTTTAATTAAAATATTTGGTAAAAAAATATATTTTAAAGTATAAAACTCCATCTCAATTCTTTATGAAATAACTATTTTAATCTATTTATATAAAATTGAATTGTTGAGTACTGTATTAATAACATTTAATTATCATGAAATACAATAATACAAAATGATTTAATTTGTTTTATGTCATTACTTTTGCTAAACTTTACGTACAAAATTGATCAAACTTCGTAGTGAGAAAAATATATACTGTAGCTCCCTCTCGTGCTGTATTAAAAACATAAATAATTTAACACGTGTTATAAATAGTTGAAAGGTCATATATAAACACAAGAAACATTTTAAAATTTTAAAAATAATGTTTCTTTTCTTTCCAAGCTAACAATAAGTCTACATATAAAAAGTTTATCTTTAAAAGTATTTTTTCGCCATTTTATTTTAATGCGAAATTTAATTGTAAACAATAATTATTAACCCAGAAATTATTTAATAGGATATTATTCGAATTTACGATATTTATAGTCTTTTCTTTCTCGGAATAAGAATGAATTAGTCTACATTAGTGTACAGTATATACGCAAAGGAAAGTCGTTACAAAGTATTCATTACAAAGTAGAATGTATTACATATAAAACATAACAATTTATACATATAATTTNAAATGATTTAAAATGAAAGCATGTTTAATTTTCGATTAAAATAATAATTGAATTAATAATATAAAACTAGCCAATAAGTTTATCTATTCATCTAAATATTTAATCTAGAAACTACCTCAATAGTTAAAATAATAATAGTTTGGTTATTTATTGAATAAAATAATGTTCGTTATGCGTTAACTTATATATTTTTTTTTAAAAATTAATTAATTTTCTTTCAGATAATTTAGAATTAAATACGTAATGATTAAACAATATTTGTTGACTAACATCATTAATATATTTTCAGTTTATTCATATTTATACTTTTATCACTGATGACTCATAAGTCGAGTCATGGGATTTGCTCTCAACACATATTTAACGTCTTTCTTCTGATGTAATAAATAATGGACCTGTTTATTCTTCCAGTTTTATCAATCGTAAGTAAAAAAATTTCGTTTATAAAATTTAGTTTTTCTTTCTCAAAATAATAATGTCGCTACTCGTAAAATTTAGAATAAATATTATCATTTCTCTCTTAATAATCTCTCATAAGGAAATTTGAAATAATACATATCATGGCTTGCAAATTACGATATTTAGAAATTTTTGGAAGAGAGAAATGAATATAAAAATAGATAAGTAGCTGACTATATTATATTATTTCGGATCTTATAGCGATCAATTTTAATCATTGAAAATTCCCTACAGTTATTTATATATTTTTAATTAAATTCATCTAATCTATAAATAAATTAGTAATTATATAAAAACTATAAATTGTAAAATCAAAATAAAATCAATAATCTATTTTAAAAATAAAGTTTATTGTATAGAGGAAATGTATACAGTAATTAATGAAACATGTCCCAATTGCATTTTAATCTTCCATTTACGTGTTATACGAATTTTAAGTTTTCAATTCCACTCTTATTCGTTTTTTGATGTCATTCATTATTCGAAATATTCGCTACTTTATAACAGAAAGTACGACGTCAACCAAATCCCGGTGGGTCGTTCTTTAAACGAGTTTATTGTATATTATGTTATATAATTATAGAATTGTAACCAAATTATTCTTGAATATTTCAAAACTTTGTTATAATTTTATAATAAAATTTTACTAATTATATGTCATTGAATCTCTCACACGTCTTTACGTGTGAGAGATTCAATGACATATTGTAAAGAAATGACTTAGCTTTTTAAAATTTAATATCAAAGCGAAAGATGTCAAAAATTAGAAATGAATATCCAAATTTAATTTATGAGTCATAAATCATCTCAAGCGAATAAAGTTAAAAAAAAAAGTATGTCGATAATTCCTACAACAATTTTTACATCACGCATCACCAAAATATGTCCAGTTAGTTTGAAATTACGCACACAGACAAATTGGATTATGATAATAGATGTTTTCAACACTGATGCTAAAATTGCAGTCAAGTAGCTTATTATATTACCCTCAACAACAACTGACAAAACATTTGAAAGACATATTATAATGCTTGATTATAAATTCAGTAATGGATTCGATGCATCATTTGTTAACAATTAACAAAAAACTATATACTATTATGATTGATACATTACTAATACAATTGTAATAAATGAATTTATGACGTATTTGTTTTTATCTAAACCTGTAGACCAATTGATATTATAATATACGAGGAAACGGTTATTATTGATCGATGTCATATTGCACTTCTATAAAGATGTAAATCATTTATTTCATAAGAGTAATATACAAAGATAGAAAACGAATAATAAATAAATGATCTGTTTAATTTTGAAGAAACAAAATGAT